GTCTGCCGTTCGTTCTCGCATTTCGGATTTAATCCAATAATCTAATAATCTACTGCTTTTTTTTTCAGGATGTTGCCATTCACCTCTACTTCACCTTATTGTGGATCTTCTAAGCAGTGGGAAATCTAGAAATATTATCGAATGGTCTGGTTCAAATCCTTCCGTGTTCCATATAAACGATAGGGAAGGCCTGGTGCAAATGTGGAGCGAACAATCCAAAATGCATGTGAGTTTAATTATTTCTTCTTCAATCGTCATTGGTTGAATTTATTTATTTCAATTTTTAAAATTGATTAAAAATGTGATCTCTTCAGAAATCGTACATCTCAGTCGTTTGCCAGCTGAAAACTATCTGTAACACACGTGTGCCTATCCTTTTTGGGGAACCGACACGAATTCTAAGTCGAATATCCACCGGTGATTACCGTATCTTTCCGGACTATGCAGCTCATGAGTAAGTCAATGTTGTATAATTTCATTGCCTTGAAGGATGCATTCACGAAAAATTCCCGCATTCTTCCTCAACATGAATATGTCAGTCGCGATCACTAGAGACAAAGTACTATAAAAGTTCCACGCCGAAGATTCAGCGAATAGGAACAAACTTACGGACACAACACTCTGGGGACGGTTGCGGGTAGGCCGGGCGGAGACAAGGGCACCTCCGGAATTGAATGCGCCTTGAGATGCCCACGCATTAGGCGACGCATTGAAATCGGGTTCGAGCGTTTGAACTGGAGAACAGATTAAATGATCGAAGGAAAAGGTTGTAGAAAAGAAAAATATTATTGCCTGTTGTCTTCAGAGTTCCGCTGATTTCACCGAAATTCCTTGAATGGCAGCTCAAGAAGGAGATGAGAAGAAAGAAGAGGGCAGAAAATGCAACTAAGAGGGATAAGAACAAGCCAAGTGAGTTTTATCAATACTCAGCTGTTGTGAGGCCCTAACCGCACAAATTTGGTTTTTGCAGGGCTTTCTCCGGTTCAGAGAAGATCAGCTGTACCGCCGTATCCCGATGGTCCTCACTATGAAGCGCAGACTCAGGTGAATCTTCACAACCATGGCCTTTTGTACTACAG